AACTCTTAAAACTATGAGGATAAGAGAAAGATGACATAAGACATGCAACAGAGTAATGCTGATTTATACTAACCAAAGACATAGGCTCAGTTTCCTATTTCTTTAACATTTTAGATAATAGGCAGCTCAAGTCAATCAATACAATCCTCAAGGCTAAGCAAGGAGGTACCTCTAACTGTGCAACAATCAGAATTTATAGAACTTCAGTGCAAAACAGCAGGATTACTAGTGCTTCTTTCACAGAAGTCTCAAAGTTGCAACGCAGCATCCTTACTGGAACCAATTAGATGTTACTGCAAGAGAGACCACTATTTAAACAAAGCCATTTGTTCTTCCTTTCCTCATGATGCTATCTTATCACAGTCCAAGTGTTTTATATCAGCACACTGAAATAATGTCTAATGAACAAGGATGTTCAAGATAAATTCTAAGAGTTACAAAGCAAATACTTCCTTTTTCTGTAAACAATATGACTGAACTCACTTCTTGAAGAAATCAAGCTATATTTATATTCACCCTCTTGAAATGCTACAGGCAGCCATAGAAGGATAAGTTTATAATAAATTGCTATATTTGGAAACCTTTGTTGCTAAGCATCTTCTAACATTCAGTACAGTTTATACCATTCATGTCCCTGCTACATAATTAACATTTCATATGTTTTTCCAAAAAAGTGCAGTGCTTATCTTTGTTGTTAAATTAAAACCATTATAATTTTTTAGAGAATTAATAAAAGACTGTGTGGCCAACTAATTAGAGCAGAAGCAGTGACATCCCAGAGGAATAGAAATACTGCCATTATATGAAAAGATACAGCACAATCTATTTTCTCATCAGCATGTCTGTCTGAGATCAAGCAATTCAGAATTCAGCTGTTCACGCTAAAAGGTAGTCTACTCAATGGCTTAGGACACGGAAACTTCCTTCCAGTGTTAATAACATTCTTTTCTTGGCTACACACATAATTAATGTGTTTTCTTGTCAAAATTTTGTGCACATGAAGCCCTAGAGGGACAGTAGCCCACAAGAAGTTCATCATAAGCTGATATTCACAGGATATGGTCCAGTGTCCAAAGTGTCTACAGGTTTTCCCTGTTATGCTGTAAATCAATATGAAAGATTATAAGAGGTTGCAACATGCAGAAACTGGAAATTACAAGCAAACATTGCTAAGCAGCGAAGTAACATAGCAAATGAGCAAATCCTAGTTTCTCCAATTCAATCATTATAAAAATGTAATTGTAAACAGAGACTAGGTATATTAGTATTAAGCAGTGCACCTACACCAGGGACACTTGCTAGAAATACCAGTTTAATTCTGCCAGACTGATCACAAGCAGTCTCTGAATTATTTAGAAAGAAGACAAACAATATCTTGCCTGACGTATAAGATAGGATACAAGTACTTTGCCCAACAATTAAGGCTGAAAAATACATACAGAGCTGTTGCCAGTCACCCTGCTGTCAACTGTTATGCCAATACTGCAAGCTTCACAATACCTGGCCGCTCTCCTATAAACACAGCCATGTTATTCTGAGGTTTCGTTTTTTAGAAAGTTAAGGCCATCCTTAGCGGAGGAAAAGGAAGAATCGAAAGAAAAATCCACTAGTGTGTTAAAAAGACAAAAGGTCGAATAAAAGCACCCCTGACTTACAATTATGTTCATCTATCTATGCCCACACAGGTGGTGTGGTTGTAGCCCTGCTTGGAAAAGCAGGACACAGATTCTCCAGGTTCCTCACCCCTGCCCCTTCTCCTTGCTCACAGCAGTGCACACACCACTGTAGCTCTGTGCATACCACATACAGGGGAGCCTAAAACATTTAGGGCAGACTGAACATTTAAGACTCCTAAAACCCTTGAATGACTTCCACGAAAACACAGAGAGTGGCTGAGCAGGATAGAAAACACACCTGCCTGACTCCAGAAGCCTGCCTGCGCAATGCTTGCTCAAAGGAGAAAACAGTTCCAAGGGTCAACTCTACAATAGTTACGTAGTTTTCATTAAACTGAAGTTCTTCAGAACTTCGAACAAGCACAAAAGCTTTTAGAATGGAGTATCTCAGGAAGCTGAACTACAGATGACAAGGTCAAAGTTTGCCTATCATAGCCCTGCAATTATCATATCACATACTGTGTTATAGTTATTATCTTTGCTTTATATAAGAAGTACATATGAAATAAATACATGCATATGAAAAAAAAGAAATGAAAATGCAGCTTAAATGAAGGAAAAATCCTTTAGAAATAACCCAAATCTGTGATTAAGCACACAAACATATCTAGCTTGTAAACTCTTTCTGGCTTTCCAGCCACCAATGAAGTAACTAAAGATACATGTAAGGCAACCAGGACTTGAGAGTCCTCTACTGCAACACCACTGACAAGCAACAATAATCTTGTGCTAAAAAATGAACATGTATTTCTGGGCTCACAGTTTTCACTTTTACATTAATCTCCAGGTTTAACCTGTACTTAACCACCTGATTTCATCATGCGTTAAAACAGAAATTAACCTTAAAATTTATGAAAACACTTTTAACTCAGAATTTTCTAAACACCAAGCATTGTGGGCACTGGCAGTCTTAGCTGCATGTCTGTATTGTTACGTACATTGCATGTTTATGTTGTTATGTATATAATGTCTGTGAAATACACACATGTTCGATTCTGAGCACTGCAGTACCAAAAGGCTATTGACAAACTGGAGGGAGTTCAGAGAAAATCTGCAGAAGTTCTCAGAAGGCAGGAAAGATTTATTTATAATGTGAGATTAGAAGAGCTAAATATTTATAGCTTGGCTAAGTAATGAATGAGGAGGTAAGGGACATGAGAACAGCCTACAGATATCTGAAGGGTGTAAACAGTAAAGCGGGAGAGTGAATGTGTTACACAAGGATGTAAATAGAAGTAGTAACATAAAACTAAACAAGGAGAATTTAGGCTGAGCATGAGAGAGCATTCCTGGACAGAAAGCCATCTTGGCCCATGGGAGCAGTTTCTTCAGGGAAGTAATAGAAACCCATTGCTTAGGACATGGAACCAGACTAGACAAAACACTGGAAAATTTGCCATATGGAAGACCCTTGCTCTGTTGGGGAGAAATATTGCTTCACGAAAGCAAATCTTTTCAACTTTAACCCCCATTCAAGTGGGAATATTTTGAACGATGGTGAAAATTTAATTTAAAAAGCAGATTTCAAGAACTCAGTCATAAAAAAGAATGCTCCTGGCAAATGCTTCTCAAACATGAGAGATTGAAATTTCATTTATGTAAGACTTTCACAACTTTTTGAGAAAGGAAAATACACCTAAGCTGCAAAGAATTGAAGGAGTACAACTGCATTTTCCCCGGCAGAGGTCGCTCCTAGTTAATAAATGACAGTGAAATTTACCAGCATGAATTCAGACCTTCTCAAAGAAGGTTAATGGAGAGGAGATCTCTGGGTTGTGTCAGTGCAAGGCACACTGCCTTAGGATGCAAAGCCCCCAGATAACACTGCATCCTGCAGGTGGACACTGGTACTTGTCCCGTAGTTGCTTTGGGTTTGCATAATACTGAGGGAAAGGCATAATGTTCTATTTATACAACACTGAGAACTTATTTTCTAGAGGTCCTCATAACGTGGGTAAATGCATTAGATGTATTAGCTGTTTACAGCTGGATAATGAAGTGAGCAAAGTCACAGAATCAATGTGGAATTCAAATCACATTTTTTCACTGAAATGAAAATTTTGATTATAAGAATTAAGTGTTCACTATTCAAAGTCTTTGACTGACTGGACTGGCTGATGGACTTAAAGAGGAAGAAAAATATTCATGCAGTCTGATTTTTGATGTTCCTTGTACATATTTCTTTCAAAAAGAAACTAACAAACTAAATTAACAGAGAACTATTACTGTAGCCCACACGTTTTTTCTTCTTAATACAGAAGTCCACAAATTCATGTGCGAGAATAATCCCTTAAAAATTCTGGAAACTGGCAAGTAAAATCCATCCCATTCCAAGTGCCATCACCCCTAATAAAACTTGTGTCATCTTAGCAATGAATTCTAATGCAAAAATTAACTGTGCACTGTGCCATTGCCAGAGGAAGCTGTCCCAGTGCCAAAGGAAATAAAAGCAAGCAACACATACAGCAAACATATGTGCCAACTACAAGGGAGAAAATATGCATAAGCAGAAATGAAGGGTCATATTTTGACTAGACTGTTTAAAAGGGTGCTTGTGGGTAGATTTAAGGTTAACACTAAAACTGCATAGATCCATTCTAGCAAAAAGTACGAATTGATAGATCTACTTTTAATCTTTCATCCAACAACAACAGAAGCGACCTTGTGTTTAAGCATTCCCTGGAACATGCCGAACCTTCCCTGTTTGAGCCATGGATAATTCCTCTGGGCTACACGGGAGCCTACGGGATGCCTTGCAGTCCTGGCTCAGGGCACCTACTTGGGCTGCATCCTAGCTCCACTGCAGAATTCCTCTCACAAGTTCCTATTTCGCAGGCAAATGAAATACGGGCACAAAAAGCCAAGGAGAGACACGATAAACGCTAGTCAGGCCCATAGTCTGAACATCTTGAGAATCAGTGTCTGTAGGACAAGCTGTCTAACTCCAGCAACTCAAGGCTTTGTGGAGAAGGGGTAGGCTCTAGAGTCTACAGCAAGAAAACTAAGGGAGTTCAGTTAAATCACTACGCTGTCGGTGAACTGAGAGACTTCCAGCTCTTTAGTATGACACAGATGGTACATGAGATTCCCCAGGGTTATTCATCTCCAGTTAATTCATTAATACTCATAAAACTGCTTTTCAAGTTAACAAAGGAGGAGACAGATCAGAATTCCTCATATTCCACATCTGGTTATGTTTTCTTTGACACAACTCATTCTTTCAAAAGTTACTAGTATAGATCGTGGACTTTTTCCTTTTTCACCTAAATGATAAGACTAACAGTAACGTGTAAAAGATCCTGAACAAGACACACGGACTCTTACCTGCCTCCTTGCACAAGGCTGCTAGGTCTGCACCCACGTATCCATGCGCGTTATCGGCCAGTTGTGCCAACTCTGCTGCTGTGAGCGAATGAGGAACCTTCTTAAGAAGTTTTTGGAGTATGTCCAGCCGGTCCTGGCCATTAGGAATCCCAATTTCTATTTCTTTATCAAAACGCCCAGGTCTGCGCAGGGCTGCATCCAGTGCATGAGGACGATTAGTGGCTCCAAGCACCAGGAGCTGCCCCTCACTGCCCTCCTGAAGAGACCAAACAATGGAAAATATTCATTCAAAGAGAGGATTAAATCTCCCACAGTTTATAAACATACTTCCTGCTCACTTTTCAGTTACCACAGGACTATGAAATCCCAATGCTTCTTCTAAAGACACCCAGAAAACTTTTCATAATTGTAAAGAGATCCCTGCCAAGCTAATCACCCGTGCAGTTCAGCACAGAGAGCACACGTGCAGGGATAGTGCACATGTAGTGGTGGGCTATGTGTACATATGAGCATGTCCCAGAAGCTTTTCATCCCGCTGTCTCCTGCTTTCCTCCCTTTCGGCACCTTTTAGGCACAAGTCTCTCCCTTCACTTTTGTGCAGGTTATCTGAGGGTACCAGTTCACAGAAAAGTGTACTTAGAAAAGAAGAATTCTAACCAAAATCAACAGGAACAACCAGGAAAACAGACAGCCTCTCTTGCAAAGGATTCTCCAAGAACTAAGGCTTTAGTGTGGACATACAGAGCATTAGAGGAGCTATGACTAGCCTCAGTAACTGAAACTTCCCTGTACCTGAGGAAAGAAACTGTGTAAGCTGGAAAACAGTGTTGCCATAAGAATAAAAGGTAGCAATAGGTCTTGAATAAACAAAGTTGGGAAACAAACCACTTAATATATCAAACCAGGAGGTAATGGAAGAAGAGCTACTCTACAGGAAGACCAAGGTCAAAAATTCGAAACCACTTAATATATCTTACCAGCAGGAGGTAATGGAAGAAGAGCTATTCTACAGGAAGACCAAGGTCAAAAATTCTAATCAATGTCCTCAAGCTATGCTTTTTCAACTACTGCATAAGTTACATAAAATCAGCTGGGAGGTCTCCTGCAGTTCTATTCAGTTTAGTTTCACCTATTATTCACCTTCATTTCACCAATGTGACACACTTAAAATCAGTTACACAATAGAAGTGAATTTATCGTGCTCTTCTAGTCCCTATACACATCGCCTCAATATGGTCTACTTACAGAGCCAATGCCATCCATTAATGTCAACAGCGAAGCTACAACTCTCTTCTCGACTTCATTCTGAGCCCCTTCTCTCTTTGGGCAGAGTGCATCCAACTCATCTATAAATATAATGGAAGGGCGACTGATAAAAAAAAAAAAGAAAAAAAAAGGGAGGAAAATAAGGTGCTGAGAAGGATTTTAAACATTAAGGCAAACATTTGCAGAGCTGTTTAAGGGAAATATCCTTACAATAAAATCAACAAGCATCCCACTCCATTAAGCAACTTAAAAGTTTCCAGCTTGAATATGACACTGTTCAAAAGACAATTAAAATTACCAATATTTTACTTATACAACTAAAGTCTTTATGATGACCTGCAGAGCTATTTTTCTATGACTCTCTCAAAGACTAGACACTAAATACACAAATTCCATAGCTAAAAAGGCAGTGTTTTATTTGCCATCTTTCCAGACACAGGAAATGACAGCCTTTTGCTAATGTATTACAAGTAACAATGACCTGGAAGCTTTGCCCTGACCACTAAAGTAGATTGCCTCCACAATATTTGAGGCATGCTACACCTAGTGCCAATATTTAGAGCTAGCTTTCAAATCACAGCACACCTCTACATTCCTCTCTAAAGAGAAAACAGGCAGGAAAATCCAGAACCAGGTGAAACTCTGGCTAGTGCTTCTGTTAAGCAAGTGTACAACACACTAACAACACAGACCCCGTGATTTGGCACCATCTGCAACAGGTCCTTAAATGGGATAATGCCCAGAAGCATTTAACAGGCATACTAGAATTTTGTCTTCCTTTTGGCTAAGCTGTATATGAATAAGTGTACTTCCTTTTAAAAACCTCTGCAGGAGAAAAGCACAATTCCAAGATTCTTGCAATTTTTTTTTCTTTTAAAAATATTAACACTGGAACCAATACTGCAAATAAGCAAGTATAATTTTGTAAAAGACTATACCGCAAAGAAGCTTCAGCAAATATCTGACGTAATCTTGATTCAGATTCTCCATAAAACCTGTAATAATTAAAATATTTTAATCAGAAACATGTTTTTGTATTTTCCAGACAATCTGGAAAACTACTGTTCTTGTGTCCCGAAACGCTGTAGCCCTTCCTTCCAAAGTCTCCAGTGAATTTATGAAGCACAGCAAAGCTAAAATAATCTTTATTTCCACCAAAACAAGAAATTTAGGTAGGATGGGGCACACACCATTTTGCAGAGAGCAAAAAAATTACAGAGAAGAGCACACTTCTGAGTTACCAACACTCTGTATTTTTATACAACAAAGACAAATGAGTTCCCAGTTTCATCTTTCCATTTCTTACGTTTTAACGAGCAAGCCACTCTGGTGGCAGAAATGACTCAGATGCAGCTACAGATACAGTTTAAGGTCCTCCCCCCCTCTTTTTTTTAATTTTAGTGCATGCCTTGCACAAATTTCCAAGCCAAATCGAATGAACCACTTCTATTACAAGAAATGTAAGCCCTTCAGGGAGGCCTTTCCCACCTATTTTTGACTCTCGCACGGATAACCCACACCCCTTTATACACAGGGGAATGCCGGATCTGCAGTGAGCAGATGCCAGTACAGGTTTCAGGCAAATGTATTTATAACATTAATTAAAATAAAATGAGTGGACTTACTTGCTTATTATTTCAGGACCGTTAATAACGGTAACGTGAGCGCCAACCTCATTTGCAACAGCCTTGGCAATCATAGTCTTCCCAGTTCCTGGAGGGCCATGTAGCAGCACTCCTCTAGGAGGGGGGATTCCTTCAGGCACGCACATGCACACAAACAGAGAAGAAAAAGTTATTTGTGCTAAACGCCCAGCTGAACAAGCTGCACTTGCACATTTCACTGCCCCGCAGTTATTTTTTATTATAACTTGACCTCAGCAGAAATGTCTTCAACCAACATGTCACTTTGATAAAACAGTATGTCTCCAATGAGAAGAGCTCGCTGCAAGAAACATTCACCGTTCCACACGCATCTACATTACTGTCCTCTACAGTCCAATTGAGATGTCCTCTACAGTCCAACTGATTCTGTTCAAAGGGCAACCATCTAAATTACCATCCCTTTCAGTAGCCTAACATAATCATTTTCCATATGATTTATTCAAAAAAAAAAAAAAAAAAAGGACTGAGTACCCAATGTTCGTGAATATACTTTATTATCCAAGACTCTTACAGCACCATCATTGTAAATTTCCAACATCAGAAAACCATTTCCCTTCAACAGTTCAAAAAAGTTCAAATACACTTCAGGCTTCATTTGAGCATGTACAATTAACTGCATCTTAAAAAGCTCTTGTGAAAAAAATAAAAAAAAAATACATCCATAAAAAATAATTGGCTCTTTAATAGCAAATGTTTAGAGTTGAAATAGAGTGAAACATTCAGGCAGAGACTATATGGGATAATAGAAGAACAAGGTATTCTGGGTACAGTTAAAACCCGACAGAAGTCATCCATAACTGGTATAAAGTTCCAGGTAAGGTTCAGAAAAACATTTCAGTTTCAGACCATAGGATCAAATCAAATGGGCACAAATCCAAAAACAGCAAGAAAAAAGCTAAAATGCAAAAAGAGATGACTTGAACATTTAACAATGAGAAGACTGGCGCACAATGCAGTGATGAAACACAATCAATGAACAAACAGGTAAGGTGACAGAGGAAAACTTACTAAAAAATTTCTGTGAATAGTATGCCCAGTGGGAACAGAGAGACTACATTTTAGGAAGTAATATACTTGAAAGGACAAAAGTTATCTGCTAACTGATAGAGGATAGAAATGAAATGTGTTATGAGCCCATTACTTTGTCCACTAAAGCATGAGCTGCTCCCTCCTGTGTCTTTACTGGCAAGAAACAGACTCGGACCAAAGGTATCCCCTAAAGTGACTTCCTCACTAGCCAAGAGTAGATAAGGACTCCCAACCTTTGGAGGGTTATTCAGCAAGAAACTGGGAGAAGGGAAGAAATGTCCTCCCTTAGGTAAGTGCTAGTAGAGCCTTGGATCTAGAACTTCTGGGACTAATCACAAAAACCTTTGATACTGCAGCAACTCTTTCGCCAGCACAAGAATGTGTGTGGTAAATGCTGAGGTTCGGGCTCAGTGAACTGGGCTGCACATTCCTCATCCCATCCCACAGATTATGTCTATGCAATGCACACTGAAAGAAAACATCTGTTTTTTTATGAAAATTGCCCCAGATATCCGTGAAATCATGTCACAAATGACAGAAAAGGTTAAATGAAAGAAATAAAAATGCATAGGTAGAAAGGCCTTTCTAAGTGATGCACACCAAGCACAATGAGCAGACATGCCTGCTGTACGTACATAGCCATTGTGATAAATACACATTACAGTTTTTTAAATTTGTCACAGAAAACTTCTGAGTTCACGTACATTTTAGATATAATTTAATATATGGCAATATTAAGCACATTAGCTTTTCAACCCTATAATCCTATACCAAATATGTTAAAGGGTTCATGCAAAAAGCCTCAAATACTGCCTTAAAACTTTACAGGAACTCTGTAAAAGGCAGGATTAAAAATACCAGAAGAAATAATCTGACTGATTTTTTCTTAACTTAAAAAACACATATGTTTAGTTCACTCTACCAAAAATTGCCAAAATGAGGTGACAAGAAATATCTACACCTTTCAAATGTCTGAGTACAGAACTCTTCAATGTTTGCCATAAATTGTTAATGCATACCAGAACTTTCCTATATAAACATCTTTTTTTCCTACTCGATTATTTTGCACACAAGCTAAACATTGCTTCTTCATGATATCCATACAGTAGGGTTATAAAAGAGCTAGAGAGTGTTTGCACACCGAGTATACTGAACTGGTATTACATGAAAAAGTCAGTGTATATTTCTGGTTGAATAACTTGCTTAAAAAAAACAAATAAATAAAAAGTAATGTTAAAGAAAAGTATGGTACGAAATGAAGAAAGCCAACTCTTAGGCATCATACCGTAACTCTTGAACAGTTCAGGTTGCTTCATCGGCAGTTCGATTGTTTCTCTAACAGTTCTGAGCTGGCCACTTAAGCCTCCTATCATATCATAGGTCACTCGGGATTCACAGTCACCATCTTCTGCCTCACTGGGCCTCGTTTCAATGAAATTGATTCTAGTTCTTGAAGAAATGAAATAAAAGACATCTGCACTGCTCATCATCCCAGGTTTGTCAGGTACCAGGAGGCTCTCACTGCCACCTTTCCCAATCAGCTCTGAATCATCAGTGGGGTCTGTGGCACTTCCCTTATTATCAGGTTTATCCACCTGACCAGAGTCTTGACCACCAGCTACCAGAGCAGAAGTGGTTGTAACTGGTGACTCTGGAACCAGCAGTTTGCTTGGTGTGCTCGGAGATGCAGCCTCCAGAGCATCCTCCACGTCCATCTTGCTGAGCTGTAGGGACAAATCCAGCGCACTTGCCTCCAGCTCAACCCCCTCAGGGTCTTGCTCGCCCATGGCACTGGAAATGGCACTGCTCAGGGCAGTCAGCTCCACATCATCGCTTCCTGTCACTCTCGTTACCACCAGGTTACAAAGTCTGCCATAGAAAGTGAAAGCCAAGAGGTTTCCTGGCAAAACAACTTTCCCATCTACAATAAGGTTTGAGGAAGAGAGAAAGGGAGGAAAAAAATAAAAAAACATTTCAATTTCATTTGGCAGAAACGACTTTCAGGTACTGTTGTATCAGAATTATTCTTTAGCTATAAGGAATGCTAAAAATTAAGATAATTAAAGATCACACTTGAAAAAATGGAATCATTTTGCCTTCTAAAATGATCATTTTATATACAAGCAGATTATAATAGATGAACATTTAGCATTAATACATGTTAACTCTCATACTAAGCTCCCCATTAAAGGCCTAAGATGTAAACAAGATTTATCATTCCTAGCCGAAGTCATTCTTTTGGAATCTAGTTCTGGTTTTCTGCCTCCTAGATAGCCAAAGCAGCTTGGCAATTTAATGAGTTAGGCAATTCCTAAATCAGAAGATTCTCACAGAGTAAAACAATTCAACCTTTGAATATCACCCTATTTGTGCAGGAACTTGGGTTTTCTTTTGACTTATGTAAGCATATCTACCAATCAATGTATATCAATTTTGCTCATTTATCACCAATGTTTTAAAAAAAAGTTTCAGAATACAAGACAATGTTAATAATGATCTCTTTTTTGCGTGTTTAGGTCATAATGTTGAATTCTTTCTCCTTTCAATGCAAAGGAAACTGCGATAAACCACAGTATCAGCCAGAAGATCACCAATGATTGCTAAACAATTGTAGCTTGAACCAGCAATAGATATAAACAAAACAGACTGACAGCCAGGATTACAGCAAGCTGAATACTTGCAGTACAGATGAATGATTTAGCTCAAACCAGATAGAACCTTGCTCCTTTAGGGTTGTATTTGCTTTTTCTCAAGTCCCTTGATCAAGATCGTAAGAGGAAACTTTTCTATCCAAATCCTGAACTCCCACTACAAAAATAAAATACAATAAAATAACATAAAAAATAATGTCAAAAGAAAAACAAGAAACTCATACCTAGGTTTCTCAGTAGACAGACAGACATTTCCTCAGCATTAATAGAGGCATCCTTCTCTCTGTGGTTGGGAGAAATTTTTTTTTTCTGATCAGTAATTACTTAATAACAACTATTTTACACTGTAAATTCACAAAGAAAGAAAGGGGATTTATCACATCACAGTCTCTGGATCCGTTTATTTTAATGCTGAAGATATTAGTTTCATAGGTAACAACAGAAGTTAATTAATATTTAATAATTAATATTTAATTTTGTTTTGATTTTTCATAAAAGACACTTAAATAAACAATATAGTAATTTAAATTTATCATTTCTTAAGATTATAAACATGTAATACATGATCCATTTAACTGACCAGATGGTCATTGCTACATTTACTGAGTTGAAATAACTGCTCATAAGAAAGATCTCTTCCACTTTTGTAAACACATATATTAACAGTCTTTGATAGGTATCTGGAGCACTTTGCAAAAGTCTTTGCATGTCTTTAAGCACTGAATGCACAGTATCAACACTGTGAAAAGTTTTCCCTATGCATCTTCTAATCCTTTATTTAATCTAGCTTTAAGTGACTCAGTATATCAGCTTTATGTCACTTCCGTATCCAGGGGCACTTTCTCAACACCCAGTGTCACCACAGGCTTTAGCACGAGACCACATATGCAGATGAACAAATCTGCCCTTAGGCCAAAGCAAATGGAAGGTAAGACATGTCTTATGTGCATTTCTTTCACTGATGTTTATACTAATATATTTTAGCTCATATTTAAGACCCAATAAGAGCACAGGGATCATTAACTTCCCCTGCTCCTCAGATACCTGCAGCTTATAAAACCTGTGATTCAGTCACTTGCCTGTGCCCAAAGAGCTCAAGATATTTTACCACAGTACATAATTTATTCACTCAAACCTTTTGCCTGCTTCATTCACAGTTTTACCTTTTATTAAAAAACATTACAGAGCTTCTCTAGTTCATCAACATTTATCCCCTTAAAAATATTTGTACGATCCTAACACAACAGCCATTGTTTTCACTACAAAGGTGTCCATACTGCAGATGAACATCCACAACTTGGTAAGCACTTCGACAAGTATGTTGAAAAGCTAAACAGTATTATCACTAAAAGCTTTTAAAGCAGAAATAGCAGTTGCAGATAAAATTGTAATCAACAGAGGGTGCTCTAAACCTACAAATAAAGATCTAGTTCTCAGTAATTTTACTGACA